TCCCCTATAGCTTTCCGTAATATTATAGATGTATAGTTTTTTAAATGGATATTCTTGTTATATATTGTTCAATATATACAAGACGGGGGTCCTAGACTGAACCCTCAGATTTCGATAAACTCCCATACCAATCTGTCAAATTTCAATTTGTTCCCATACCAACCAAAATAACGCCCAAAAGCCATACCAAATATCAAAATATAGGACCAATGCCATACCAAATATCCAGATATAAGACTAAGGCCATTGGATATGTCTAAAGCCCTAATAAGAAGGCAGATCTTTGAGGAAGACGATCCAAAACAACCTCAAATGAAAGACTGTTACTACTAGACCAATGCCATACCACAAGTGGCTTGTAAAATATTTTCTATGACCATTCTCATACCAGAAAGTGGAAAAATCCAATCATTGCCATACCTCAAAAGTCATAATGTTGGGGGCATTCTCATACCAGATCCTAAAACCCCATGTGCGCCGAGGATCCCTGTCAAGGTTAAGGTACAGTGAAACCCCCGGGGTAAGACAACAATTAAAGCCAAATGGGTTAACATTAGTAATGGGTTGCGGGGGGGGGGAAGGGGCGCCAGATTAATAAAATCTTGTCATCAAAAATTCCAGAAAACCACTCATCCATTCAACTTGAAATTTTTACAGATGCAAGAGCGACTAGATCTGATTAGGCTTATGTCATGCTGGGAAAATTAGTTGGTGGCCCTTTTGAATACTTCCATAAATGTTGTCATCAAAATCACTTATGCTTGGACCATATATGCTATTTGCTTTAAATTTTTCGATAGAGTTTTCCAGCCGGATCAAAACGTTTAATCCACCCTACGCGCAGTCTCAAGTCTGTGGACCCTAAAGAAATTATAATTACTAAAATCACAATCAAATACAATCAAGACAAAGAAAGACGACAATAAAGAAGAAATAAGACAAGAATGAAGACACCAATGTAGCAGCAACAAATGACGTCCGTCCGTCTGTACGTCCGGCAGTTTTCTCCAAAACCGTTACAGATATCACCTTCAAATTTTTACAGATAACTTATGAGTGCGCTCAGACGTGGATGAAAAAATTGACTCGATACCTACTTCCCGTCGGCCATTTTGAAGGCGAAAGCTAAAATCTTTGTCTGCAAACTTCAAGAAAAACGACTTCACAGTTACTTTTTAATGTTTAACATCTTGTTTAACTCACTTCATTCTACATCTGATTAGGTTTTGGAGCTGTTAGCTCAGTCATGGCAGCCATCATGAATGTCTTAAGAAAAGCAAGCGATAATACTTTATATCAATTAGAATGGTGTATTTGAGTTTCCGTCCTAAAATCGTGTCTGTTAAGTCTTATCTACGCGCTTTCAAGTTAACTGTTTGACGGATCAATTTCAAATTTTTGAGGATGGTTCTTAGTATGAAAATCTAGGACTGATTAGTTATTCCACATTCAGGGTAAAATTCAAGGCGGCCATTTTGAATTTTCCTTCCTAAATTGTGTCTGAAAAGTCTTGTCTATGCATCTTCTGGTTAACCTTTGAGGGATCAATTTTAAATTTTCAGGGATGATGCATGGTATGAAAATCTCGAACTGATTAGTTTTTCGGTATTCTGGGTGCTCAGTCATGGCAGTCATCTTGAATGTCTCAAGAAAAGCGAGCGATAATACTTTGTACCATATTCGAATGGTGTATTTGAGTTTCCATCGTTTAACTATTTAGTAGCTTATACATAATTTCAGACGGATTTTCCGTCCTAAAATTTTGTCTGGAAAGTCTTGTCTACGCATTTTCAGATTAACTGTTTAACCATGGGCTTTCAACTCTGATTGAAAGCCCATGGTTTAACGGATCAATTTCAATTTTTAGGGATGGTTCTCAGTATAAAAATCCAGGACTGAGTAGTTTTTACGCATTCTGGGTAAAATTCAAGGCGGCCATTTTGAATTTTCCGTCCTAAAATCATGTCTGAAAAGTGTTGTCTACTCATTTTCAGGATAACCATTTGATGGATTGATTTCAAATTTTCAGGAATGATTCTTGATATAAAAATCTAGAACTTGTTAGTTTTTAGGCATTATGGATAAATGTTAAGGCAGTCATTTTGAATTTTCCGTCCTAAAACCTAGTCTGTAAAGTCTTGTGTTTTCAGGTTAACAGTTTCAGGGATCAATTTCAAAATGATGCTTTTCTGCATTCTTGGTAAACTATAAGTCTAAGGTGGACAGTTTGGATTTTTTATCCTAAAATCTTCTCTGTAAAATCTTGTCTACATGTTTCCTGGCAAACCAATTGACAGATCGATTTCAAAGTTTTAGGAATGATTCTTTGTATGAAAAGCTCTAACTACTTAGTTTTTGAGCAGTCTGGGTAAAGGCTGCCACATCGGATATTTCTGTTAAAATATTGTCTTTTCAACTGATTAGTGTTCAGCGTCCAGGAAGAAAAATTTACAGAATGTAGAATCACCCATTGGTGGGGACATGTTGTACACTTTTGTGTTCTTGTTATTATTTCATGTTAGCCGATTTGCTCTTCAAGGTGCGATAGTTATCAATATGTATCCTGTTAGATATATCAGGGTTATGTAATGGGAGGTTTTGGATATGGGGTATATCTTGAGGGACGTATAAATATCTTTTATGAAGCTGTAGTGTTCTGGGTACTTGCGCTCTTTCTTATCGAGGGACCGAGGTAGGATATCATCATTTCCCGAGGGATATACAGCTGTACTTAACATTTTCCCGGGAATATTGGAGCGGGAGATGATGTCAATTCTATTTCCCGCTGTTATGGAACTCCTGAACATCGACGCTTTACTTGCCCAAAGTTAAAAGTGGAAAGGTATATATTTTATTATAGCATTGAGAATAGACTTCCACACATTTATACTTATTTTAAGACATGTATTCCCAATAATGGTTTAGAATGGGTGCTTGGGGATGCGGCCTATGCTATCTTGGCCCAAGAACAAGGTTATATTGTTGATGCATGCTCAAAGTATTTAATCAAAAACATATTATGTAGCATCAACAAGTTAATGTATTGCAAATGTTTTAGGTTTGTTTTTATGTCTTATGTTACAAATGTTTTTAGCTCTGCTTTAGAATTTTGCTTGTACACATGTATATTGTATGTTTTAACTGCTGCACTAGTTTAACTATGTGCCACTGATCAGCTGATCTAAAAGTGATTGCAATAAACTAATAAAATATAAAAAATAATAAACCTGAAACACTGAAACACTGAAACACAGTGGTTCTCGATTGGAGGGGGGGGGGGATGTTAGACATTGTTTCTTTTCACGTTAGATCATGGTTTTGGGATACATAGGGTCTACTTTTCTTTTGACAGATTGACACTTACAGTTTGCTTTTCTTGTTGGGTTTCTTTAAAGTTTTTAGTCACCCTTCCCTTTGGCATTTGTGCTTATATGTCAGAGGATAAAAGTTGATTTATAGTTTAGAAGTTATTCGATAACATGAATACTAAAAAGAATTTCTGAACACGTGATAACAATAGGTATAATTATGTATTTTTTTCATGTGGGTATGCAAGGAGGTAATAATACTAAATGTGCCATGCTAAGTTTGCACACTCACTTGCTCCCTTCATGGGAGGACATTCATGGAAGAACATTCCCATGGATAATGTATTTGCAAAAATCAATAAAATTTAAAAATAATATATAAGTATTTTAAGGTAAAAAACTATTCACACGATTACTTTTATTGACATAAAATTACTAGATTTTTCAACTTAAACATTTTTACTGCATTTAAAGATTACAGAATTTTAAGTCTACCCACTAATTTTACTGAAATTACCAGTTATATTCCATAGTATATTGTAATGTCAACAGAACCAATGTCAGGAAATGGATCATTTAGACAGGGTGTCAATGTTTGATTTGGTTTATACACTGCATCAACCCAGGACTATCAAACTAGAACATTTAGAACTCAACCGCGGAGCCAAGAGGGGGGGGGGGGGGTGGGGGTTGTTCAGGGGGTTGTCAAATTTGAATTCCCCAGGATTTTCACCATATCTTTCTTTTTACAGTTAATGGGAGAAAGGTTTGATAAGAATGATGATATGTTCAAACTAACCGTAAAAGTTGACAGGGATTCCCTCAGAGTGTTTGGTAAAGTTGACAGGGATTCCCTCAGAGTGTTTGGTATAAATTGTGCATATATGGACATTTGGACAATGAACATTCCACACGAGTCCGGGAGAATTTTCAAAGAGGCACTAGTTGACATGAACACTTTGAAGGAGCTATGCGTTAAAAAGACCAAGGTATGTGAGTACTTATGTGACTAATAAGTTTACTGACTGCAGAACATAACATCATGTTGACATGTCTTTGGCAAATCGATCGTTAGATTACGTCTGACAGGTGTCAATACAAACTAAATGTATAATCTCAAGTGTCTAAAGGACAAAACATTCAGTACTCCTGTTGCTGACGGGGTCCCACTGAAAATGTAATAGTTATGGAATATGACTCTTTCAACCATTAGCATATACCCTAGGCTCCAAGAATATATGAGGTGCTTGTCTCAAAAGTGGTCAGCGAATTTTAATTAGCTATTATAGTGGCGCCCTCTTTCCATTTTCTGACATAGGGGTGGCTTGATAAAATATTTTTTAGAAGTTCCTTTTCCTAGTCTTTCATGATAATGAATACATATTACATATAACTATGTGCCACTGGTCTAAAAGTGATTGCAATAAACTAATAAAATATAAAAAATAATAAACCTGAAACACTTTAACACTGAAACACAGTGGTTCTCGATTGGAGGGGGGGGGGATGTTAGACATTGTTTCTTTTCACATTAGATCATGGTTTTGGGATACATAGGGTCTACTTTTCTTTTGACAGATTTACACTTACAGTTTGCTTTTCTTGTTGGGTTTCTTTAAAGTTTTTAGTCACCCTTCCCTTTGGCATTTGTGCTTATATGTCAGAGGATAAAAGTTGATTTATAGTTAAGAAGTTATTCAATAACATGAATACTAAAAAGAATTTCTGAACACGTGATAACAGAATGACAAGATTACGAGAGGCTTGATAATTTATTCATTACATATACTCGGAGCAACCAGGTCCGGTCAATATGTTGACGGAGTGTTTCTTTGGGTTCTTGGTTATTGCTTTCACAAAATGGATTTATGACAGATTAACGCAGAAAAGATGCACGGTTCCTGGTCCGTATGGACTACCTTTAATCGGGAATATGCATCAAATCATTAAATCACCACTTCCTTTGCTTGAGAAATGGAGGAAAACGTATGGAGATGTCTATAAAATAAACGTAGCAATGTCTGATGTAGTTGTGGTACACGGAGAAGCAATTTACGAAGTTCTCGTCACAAAGAGTGATGACTATGCCGGACGGCCGCCGAACGAAAGATTTGGGATAGTAAATGACTACCAAGATATTTTGACCCGTTCGGCCGATGCACAATGGAAAGATTACCGTAAGATTGCTCACCAAGGATTGCGGCAATATGGAACAGGTTTTGATCGCATTGAGCAAATCAGCATGGATGAAATTCAAGATTGTGTTGAAAGGTTTGATCGGGAGGATCCGTTTGATCCATATGAAGACATGTACCTCACAGTAGCAAATATTGCGCTTATTGTGGTAAGGTGCATTGCATTATCAACACCCTGTCGAAGTGATCTATTCCATGGCACTGGGTTTGCTGACATCACAACGGAACATTTTGGTAGACTTAAAACCCAATAATTGTTGCAGTAAACACTTTAAATTCCCGGGGTTCACCATTTGATATTGCAGGGGAAATTAGATTTCAAGTTTTTTTACCATATTTACCTTTGTTTTTATCTTACCTTTCCGACTTCGGAGGATATATTTTGATAATCGCTTCTAGTTACAAATATGGCCACCATTTAAGTATCAATTTTACATTATTTAAGGTACAATCCACATAGAACTGTAATATTAATACTTTTTAAAAGTAAAAATATATTGAATAATGAACCTGAAAATCTAATTGTTTTAAAAATTCATGGGGGCCATCTTGAAAAACGGTGGGTGTTATACGCTATTTTACGATTTACAATAGGTATCATTATGTATTTTTTCAAGTGGACTTGAAGAAGTTCCTATATTATCGAATCAATGACAACATACTCATTTGAAATGTCTTCAGGATTATCAAGAAGGGAAAATTAAGATGGTCAACATATCTTGACAGTGTTACAGGTTGTACCATTCCTTGTAATACTAAATGTGCCATGCTAAGTTTGCACAAACACACTCACTTACTCCCTTCAGGGGGAAGGCATTCATGGAAGAACATTCCCAGGGATGATGTATTTGCAAAAATCAATACACTTTAAAAATAATATATAAGTATTTTAAGGTAAAAAACTATTCACACGATTACTCTTCTTGATATAAAATCACTATATTTTTTTACCTTAAACACTTTTCTGCATTAAAAGATTACAGAATTTTAAGTCTACCTACTACTTTTACTGAAATTAGCAGTTGAACTCAACCGCGTAGCCAGGAGGGGGGGGGATTGTTCTGGGGGTTGTCAAATTTGAATTCCCCAGGATTTTCACCATATCTTTCTTTTTACAGTTAATGGGAGAAAGGTTTGATAAGAATGATGATATGTTCAAACTAACCGTAAAAGTTGACAGGGATTCCCTCAGAGTGTTTGGTATAAATTGTGCATATATGGACATTCTTCCCTGGACAATGAACATTCCACACGAGTCCGGGAGAATTTTCAAAGAGGCACGAGTTGGCATGAACACTTTGAAGGAGCTATGCGTTAAAAAGACCAAGGTATGTGAGTACTTATGTGACTGATGAGTTTACTGACTGCAGAACAATACATGTTGACATTTCTTTGGCAAGTCGATCGTTAGATTACGTCTGACACGTGTCAATACAAACTAAATGTCTAATCTCAAGTGTCTAAAGGACAAAACATTCAGAGTTACTATGCATAGTATACTGTGACGAAAATGGAGAAAGTTTCAATGGAACTGAAAAAAAGGTAAAGGAATGAGAACGCCTCACAAAAACCGTTCTTTCCAATAAAACGTACGGACATGGTTACTACTTTTTTCAAGGCCTGACTGCGTCGCTAACATGCTAAATATAAGAGTTAGCTGACGTTTGGGAGTCTGACTTACCTTCTAAAGGTTAGAACCCGAATCTTAATGAAACCATATCACCTTTGTTCCGTCAACCATGGAGCATTTGCCACAACATCCAAGAGGTAAATCATTGACCGAGAAAATGAATGATTTCCTTGTAAGTTCCGGAAGTTTCAATACGAAAAATTACCGAACATATGTGAAAACCGAATATTTGTTCGTTGTTTTCACGATTTACAGGTTCGTTTGTTCTTCAATGTTTTGGTCTAAATTATAAAGCATCACCAACAGGTCTTACTCTATTAATCGACTAATACAGCAGACGGCTCATATTTCTACGTAGCATTTCATTCAGACCAATAGTGGGAGTGTAGATCACGCAGTTTCGTTCGTTGCGTACTTCACTTGAAATTGGTAATTTTAAATATTGACTACTTCACGTAGCTCGGCGGATGTAGAACATTGCTTAATATTCTTTTAATTTTCACACCAGACATGCTTGGTTGACACGCAAGGAGGATTGGCTCCCAGAATCGAAGTCGATATTTTCCAACAATGAAAACGCCGAAATGTCGTTATTTTCTGAAATTATAACCGATTATAAATTCAAAATAAACAGTTCAAAATATTCGAACCAATATCTCGATCATTTCTTGTGAGTTTTGGAATTTTTCGTTGGGAAATAAGACCAAAATTCACGATTCAAATGTTGAAGTGAACAAAATGGCGGTCGTTGGAATTCAAATTTTGCAGCACGACATGCCCATATATGGGGCAGAATATCGATGTTGCACTCTGGGAGCCAATCCTCCTTGGTTGACACGTCAACAAAGCAAAGTTCAAGGGTCAATGCGTTATTTCGTGATAACTACAACGCCTTCCCGGAGGTCAACATTGATGAAAAATGAAAAAGTCGGAAAAGCATTTACGCTAATTTCTATCAAATGCTATGTTAATGCATCATCATCGACGCAACAAAGGTGATATGGTTTCATTAAGATTCGGGTTCTAACCTTTAGAAGGTAAGTCAGACTCCCAAACGTCAGCTAACTCTTATATTTAGCATGTTAGCGACGCAGTCAGGCCTTGAAAAAAGTAGTAGATACTTATTAGAGCGGTTTCGCACAACGGGTTGGTTAACATGTATCCGCATCCCTATCTCGTTATGTTTACGGATACGTTTTTCGATAATTTTCGCAGTTCGTTTTTTTTGAAGTACGTAATTATATTTACGCATCTCAATCCGTGTTTGATAGTAGTGAAAACTAGCTAGGGTCAAATAAAAGACTTCATCTGCACTAAGATTTCAATACACCATTGAGAATGTCAGCTTGCCATCGATGCGTTACGGATTTTGATACGGGTAGCAAAAACGTTGTATGCGAAACACGAACACTGTAATTATTACAATACCATTCCATACAGTGTAAAATGAATTGAACATACCATTTGAAAAACTCGATTTATGTCAAACAATAAACAATTTCATTCACCAAATTTAAGTCAAATTATACATAACACACTGTGCTTGTTCATATAGAGACACCTTTTAGAACTAAAATCAATATAATCGAAGGATAAAATGGGATACGCAAATGACCAACGTAGAAAAGGCTCATTTTTGTGTTTTCCGTATCGCTTCATGTATAAATTGAACTGACTACGCATAGATCTGGTAAATACGTTACGGCTACGGATCCGTTGAGCTAAAAAAATGTTTTGCGAAACCTCTCTATTGTCTGCGTTTCATGTTCATGTTTAAAGAGGAAGAAGACACCGTTAAGGCCCCTGAATAATTGACGATCATTTGTCAATATGCAACTTTTTATGCTTAGTTTAATATTGCCCTTTGGTGCATTTGCTTTAATTTACGTATTACGTAAAACTTAGTTCTAGACATGCTAGATGGATAAGAGCTACGTCGTATTCTTCACTAGCAGACGTATTGTTACGACGTAACGTAGGCTCAAAATTACGCCTACTTGTCAAATCTCATAATACGCTCATAATACAAACTATCCTTTTACTTTATTCAGAAAACCTTTGATGGTGATAATCTTAGGGGTGTGTTTGATGCTATCTTCAAGGAACAAGAAAAGCGCAAAAACACAGATCAACCTTTGAGTGATACTGTGTTTAAAGGCATATCACTGAACCTGATCATTGCAGGTAAAGATAGATTATTTAAAGAATGCCATTGCAAGTGACCTTTATGAAATTGAAAAAAATAGGAAGGACGAGGTTCTCTTTAAATAAAACAAGAGGCTACTGCTTCACCTTCAAATATGGCGTCAAATACAGGTGCTATGTAGCCAGCCAGTGTATTGCCGGGATAATTTTTCTGAGAAAATATTTTATCCCGCTAACCTATGCAACGCTTGGATAAAATGTTTTGAGGAAATTTATCATCCCACAAAATGGCTTATACACCCCATGCAGACAGATCGCCTAAAATTACATTCGTATGATGCGAGACTCGTCATTCAACGGGAAACTGGAACTATTTGTTCACCCATGTAGCAAATTATTTTTTACTGCTTAATAATTTCCAAGTGAAAAATCATCTTAAGGACAGTTGAGCAACGTGTGTGTGGGGGGGGGGATATATAAGCACAAATGCCAAAGGGGAAAAAAGGGTAGGGTGCTTCCTCTAGTCAGATAGACTAACAAAACCGTTTCTATTGCAGCTATTGTGACAACATCAACTGCCCTCAAAAGTATGATAGCATACCTGTTAGACTACCCAGACATCCAGGAAAAACTTCACAAAGAAATTGACGACGCTATAGGAGAAAGGTAAGGAGTGATGCGAATGTTTTACCTTCAAATTAAATGAGTTGTACATGCGAATATTTTCTCTATTGATATATGCTTTAACAGGCCAAAGACAACTGAATTCAATTTTTGCCACACATATTTTGGGATTTAGAATTATTCTTAATAGACTGCGGACTATTCTGTAGAAGTGCTCTAGAAATGGATCTCGCTTTTCATGGAAGGTCACACATTCCAACATATTTCAAACAATTTGTATGATTATAATAGACACTTTCTGGGTAGTTGGACTTTATGTAGGGGTGGCAGAAGGCCCTCAGGCCAATTTATACCCATACCCCAACAAAACCTTGGGGGTACTTTAATACCACCCAATAAAAATAATACTAATGCATATCAGATATTCATCGTTTTATAGTGGGTAGGGCATGCCATGGTTAGTCAGTGCCAGAAATTTCCAATCTCTGACTTATATGGTTACCATGGAAACAGTATTTATATCTCACAATCTTCTCAATTTGACCCCGTCCCAAATGTGTCCTTAAGTTCTCAAAGTGAAATATTTGCAAATCTGTTTGGATTTTGTGGCTGCAACTTTGTCAAAAGTTGAATTAATATGTATGTATTCACACTAAAGCATTAAAACTTGATATAATGATCTCATAAATTAATAATATTTATCAAATGTAGTCACACACAACTGCTTTTAGGGAAAAGTGGGCGTGGCACTTTTTGGTACTTGTGTAATTGTTGCAGCATTAAATGAAAAATACTTATTACACTAACAACAATTGACATTTAATTAGCATCTACTAACATTGTGTAACATTGTAGTATGTTCATTATCATTATTAGATACTTTAAATATTTTATATAAGTGTTATCATGACCCTTCCCTATCATAGGTCATTAATGGTCAAATTAACTTTTAAGTCCTAGAGGTCCTTAGTCTTTTTAGCTTGTCAAAGTCGTATTCATTGACTTGAAGCTAGAATATAAATAGTTTCATTGATCAAGATTGATTGATCATTGATGAAAAGTAATGGACCGACACTGATCAGTACCAAGTGAAGGTAACGGCCGTAACCTTCGCATCTAAGATGGCGGACAGTAATTGTCGATTTTGATATTTTTAATTTTCATTGAATTAAACTACTTTAGAGTTGATGTTATGCTTTGACATTTGCACCAAATCAGGCTTAAATGACATTGGAACCATAGATGTAGTAAACATGAATAAACGATATGTGAAATGTTATAGTATGTGAGCTAGCACCGAAAAATGTACCGGCTTCTGAACAAATTGAAATTACTTGTTTCTTATGTATTTTTATGTGATACTTGAGAAAATTTTTGTCTGACGCGCCGTATCCGGGGCGAAATTTGTCAAAATTGGGTTTTTGACCCTAAAAAGGAAAATTACAGGGGGTACATTATCATCATAGAATAATTCATTCAGTTGATCTTCAATCATCATAATAATTTTATTGAGACTTGATGAGATCATTCTGAGGTAGTATATAAAGTTTCAATGGTCTGTCACTCATGGTTGCCATGGAAACCACAATTTTTGCTGAGAAAATCCTTAATTTTGGTAAAACCTGTACCTGTACATAATATAGAATATGGATTATTTTTTATATCAACAGATATTAGAACATTTTAGCACTCTAAAAATCACCAGGGCTGTCCAAACATTTGTTTAAAGTGAAAGAATATTGCAATTTATGTGACTGGTAAGTGTCAAAGACCATACAATTACATAAGTGGTCAAAAGTGGGCGTCGCCCTCATAATAGTAGTTGATTGCCATTCTCTATAAATACAGAGTTTTACTTGACTTTTGAGATACATTTATATTGAACTTCTTTGGTTATACTTAATATCAAGCATTTTAACATCTAAGTGTTATAGTTATTGCATGGGGATACAGGGGGGGGGAGAGAGGGAGAGGGGGGCTTCTAACAGAATTGGGAGGGGGCAGAGCTAATCAGTCTTAAGTATAAATCTCATCTTTATGGTTCTAGATTTCATAGGGTACATCTTCTTGGTCTTATTATATTCATCTCAATATAAAAGATATTAGAATTTACATGGTTGGTAAGTGTCAAAGACCATAGAATAAAACATGTGATCAAAAGTGGGCGTCGCCCTAATCATAGTACAAAAAACATGTGACTGAAAAAACAATATGGAATTATGATCTTGGAGATGTAGATAAAATAAACTCAAATATCAGCGATATCGATTTGACCGACATTTTCATAAATAACAATGAAAATGTGAACTTAACTACTGAAAACTTTACTCGCGATGTTTTTGACATTTTTTCCAATAACATTCCGCAGAAAACTTACATAACCAAGGCAAATGACCAGCCATGGATTAACAAAAAAATCAAACTTGAGATCAGAAAAAAAGAAAAACTTTTTCGTAAGTCAAAATCAAATGATGACCCTGTTCATTTTGAAAATTATGCCAATCAAGCAGAGCATGTAAAGACTCTTATTAAAGAAGCAAAATTAACTCATGAGGACAAATTAGTCCAACAACTTAATGAGTCCACATGTAAGGGCAAGCAATATTGGAATATTGTAAACTCATTTCTCTCCAAAAAATTCAATGACTGTCTCCCTTGTCTCAGAAGTGAAACTTCATGTTCTATTGCTACATCTGACACTGAAAAAGCCAACCTTTTCATGAACCTTTTCTCTGGCAAATATCACCATGATGAGCTTCATGGGGATATGGTCTTTCCTAATTTTCCAAAAAGGTGCAATCAAGAAATTGACAATATTACGACAACACCTGATGAAATAAATAAAATCATACAGTCTCTTGAACGTGACAAAGCATGCGGTCTTGATGGAATAAATAACAGAATGGTGAAAATTGCCTCAGCCACTCTATCAATCCAACTTTCTTCGCTTTTTAACTTCATTTTCCAAAAGTCAGAATTTCCTGACTGTTGGAAGTTGGGAAATATTTCTCCAATTCATAAGAAATCTGACCGGTCATTCGTTGAAAACTATAGGCCGATAACATTATTAAGCACTTTCTCCAAAATTTTTGAAAAGGTACTCCATGCTAGAATCATGAAACACCTTATGGATAATGACCTCTTATACAAGTTTCAGTCAGGTTTTCTCCCAGGCCACAACACAGAACTTCAACTTTTAGCAATAACTGACTATATTTATCATCAAATGGAACAAGGAAACTGTATTAACTCGGTATATCTCGACATTTCGGCTGCGTTTGATACCGTCCCGCATTCGCTCTTAATACACAAAATGAAATCTTATGGAATAAACGGCAAAACAATTGATCTTTGTGATTCTTACCTGAGGAATAGAAAAGTTTGTGTATCAATCAATGACCAACATTCTAAATTCTCAGACAACAACTTCATAAACTCTGGTGTTCCTCAAGGCTCAGTAATAGGCCCCCTCATGTTCCTCATCTATATAAATGACCTCCCAGACAACTTAGACTCTGAAGCATACATATATGCTGATGATACATCTCTATATTCATTTTTTCATCCATCAAATGCTCAAACAGATCAGATTCAAAATGATCTTAATAAAATTAATCTGTGGTCAAAGAAATGGTTCCTTAAATTCAAACCTTCCAAAAGTGCCCAAGTCATATTCCACTCAAACCGGATCAAAAACTTCCAAAAAACGCCACTTTATTTTGACGGAGAAGTCATTCCATGTAAAACTTCACACAAACATCTTGGATTTATCCTTGATGAAAATTTGACTTATGAAGACCATATTAACTATCTTTCACGGAAAGTTCAAAAACTCCTTAATCCACTCAAGTATCTGTCAAATAGTGTAAGATCCAAACACCTTGAAACAATGTATAGCTCCTATGTAGCATCAAATTTTGACTACTGCAGTGCCTTGTATGGGTCTGCCTCATTAGCCCTATTAGCAAAACTTGACAAATTGCACTATCAAGCAGGTGTAATATGTGCAGGTGTTCTTCATGGCTCAGATACCTCCAAAGTGTTTCAATGCCTTAACTGGAAAACCCTTAGTCAAAGGAGAAATGAAAAAAATGTTCGGATAATGTTCAAAATAAACAAAAGAAATGTAGCACAATATATATGCGACATATTTGACAAATATAAAAACCCAGCCACCAGACTACTGAGACATTCTATGCCTTACAATATTCCAACTAATGTTTCTATCAGACTCCTTAAAGCCCCTGTCTTAAATATTATAAAACAATGGAACAACCTTAGCCAACTTATAAGAGAATTACCAACCATCTCTAGTTTTAAAAATGCTGTTCGGTCAACAATTCTCCCAAACATAAATTTCATTCCAACAACCAAGCTAAACTTAACAAGGTCAAATGAGAAGATTTTAAACAGACTTCGTGTCGATTTCTTTTTAAAAGAACACTTTTTCTCTCATAATTTTATTGGTGTAACCGACAACAAGTGTCCATGTGGATCCCCTGAAAATACTAAGCACTTTCTCCTTTCTTGCCCCCGCCATACTGATGATAGGACAAACATGATTACTGCACTTAGACAAAACAACCTTCTCTATGATGAGAACATCTACACCAACCGAAATGATCAAGTCAAATATCTCCTCTATGAAAATACCCTTAGCCGCGATTCACAAAACTTACTTCTTAACATTGTGCTCAACTTTGTTAGATCATGTTACATTTACCCATTGAGAATCTAAAACTTGCCCAAACCTCCTGGACCAAAATATCCCCAACAACTAAGCAACTAAGCAATTAACAACAAAACTTTTCAATAGTTTTATGCACTTTTTTTTGTTTTATTATTACTTGCTTCTAAACTATATTTATGTTAAAGCGACCTGTAATGCCAAATGGCGATTGGTTTTGCTTACTTGTACTTTGTAAATTACTATGATTTAAGAATAATAAAAACATTAATAATAATAATAATCATAGTACATGTATATGGTTCATTCTCTATAAATACAGAGTTTAACTTGACTTTTGAAGTATATTTACTTA